GCGCGCACACACACACACATCATAAACAAATTCTGCATCTGAAAAGGTAATGTTTACGTATCATACATATGTTTGAATTCTCATGGCTTTGGAATGTCAATTCCTGCATTACTACTCCTGCTTCACAATTCATTCCACAGACCAAAATATAATAGATAAAAAAGTTTTTAAAGTGCTTGAAGAAGTTTAAGGAGACAACCTAAACAGTCATTATTATCCTAATTTTCCAGCATGCATCATCTTGGATTTAAGATGATGCATGTTTATGCATGTATTCCTTCGACAGTCCAAATGTAAGAAACAATTGTGTAAACAAGATGTTAGAAAAAAGTTTGCAAGATAGGTGCAAAATACATTCCCAAACCCACTCTTAGAGTAACACCAGCGCAAAGGGTGTGGGTGTGTGCTCCTGGCAAAACCGCAATTGCCAAGGATAAGGATAAGTCCGATATGCGAAGCTGAGGCTCGCCCGGGCTATGCTCATATGGGGAACCCGGTCTGTGTCGACTAATGCAGACTCGCTAGCGTGTGTCATCTGGTGCTAACTCGACTGAGCTTAGCCCTTACTCGCCGTGGTGCCCAGCCACAGCAGTAACTTCCAAGCGACAATTGCAACTTCTCGCACCAGGGTGGGGCGCGAACCGCCGTCCCCTCGGATGAGAGGCCGATACGTTACCACTGTACTAGCCCGAAGGCTCGATTGCCAACTTACTTTGGGATTTGCGAAGTTCTAGCTTCGCCCAGGCCTTCCATATATGGCCCGGCCTGTATCAGCTTTTTATGGCTGTTTGCTAAGTCTGACGCTCATATTTAAGGACATTTCGGACGCAGTAAACGGAGAGCCGGATCTACATCTCGCGCCCGTCAGCCAATCACAGTCGGGATGTCTCGCGTCTCAGCCAATGGTGAATGGCTGACAGGCCCCAAATGCCGGTCCGACTCTCCGTTCAAGGTGTCCGAGGTTTCTCTGAATATGAGCCTCTGCGTCTGCATCATACACTGTCATTGAGATTACTTGCCAGGCGTGTTGTACTTCCGTACGTGATGGGGGAAATGATTGCAATATTTATCATGTATTATTCACAAGTTGTAAATATACTTTTTTGTTACGCTTGTATAAGAAGTTACTTCTGTATACTTTTTTCCCATCATGGAAATAAGATAAAATAAAGAGAAACAAAATATCTAAGCAGTGACGCAAAAATATTTTTTAATGAAGAAATAAATAATAAACTGAAATAGATTAATGATATAAATAACTGGCTTCCGTTTTTCACCAAATGATATGTACCATAGATGATTAAAACGTATGTGACAGTGACTAGAGCATTATTGGCTTATTATTATTTGACAAGCGTCTTGTATTTTTGTTAGATAACTAGTAAAATAGTGCTTCATTTTTTTACTTACTTGCACTTGATCCTTATTGAGATCTCTCAAAGGGAAGCATAAAAAAGGTGAGAACGAACGAAAATTTCTTTTGGACCAAGACGGGCCACTTACACACAGCCTATTTATGTTTAATTATCGGTAGAACTGTCATGCATCCTGACGCAGTTTCCTCATTCTCAGGGTCTCGGAGTCATTCTATTCTGTGTCCTGGCGGTGGCATCAGCCCAGAGAAGGCACGGAGGCTTCCATGGTGGATTTCCTGGAGGCTTCCCTAGCGGCACAGCCCCACCCGCCACCTGCAGGCGCTGGTGCGAAACTCCAGAGAATGCTTTTTACTGTTGTGAGCACGCGCGTGAACCCGAGAGGCCCGTGGGCACCAAGCCACTTAACTGCCCCCGAGTCCGTGACACCTGTCCACCGATACGTACTCTTCAGGAGCAAGGACCAGTACCTTGTTCTAGCGACTTCAGGTGCGGCGGCTTTGACAAGTGCTGCTTCGACAGGTGTCTGGGACAACACGTGTGCAAGCCACCTTCCTTCTATAACTTTTCCGGCTGAAAAGTAAACCTGGAATGATTGATTCATGTAGAATCCGTGACTAATAAAGTGCACACACTCACGGTATTTTCACTCACCTCTACTGGTTTATCCCTTCATTCACTTTGGGTTTTACTCATCTAATCACCTTAGTTTACTCGTCTTAGTGTTCTCGTTTACTTTTTGGGGGGCTTGTATTTCCGGGGTCTCTTTGTTTGCTCACTCAATTCTTATTGACTTATCATGGGTAATTACTTTCTCGTCTTGGTTGAGCTCACTTATCTTAATTTCCTTTAACTTAATTTAATAATCTGTTAGTTTTAGTTATTCACTTGTTCATCTTCGTTAAATCATTCACTTTGGTATATAATTTAATAGCATTTTTCACACATAAATTAATTCGCCCTTCCTACTTTATTTTTTTTTTACCCATTTTTTCCCTTTCCTTTCTCTATTCCTCCTCTTGTGTTCTTTAATCTTTTATCTTTCTCCGCCTTCACCATACTCATTAACCCATCTTGGCCTCATTAACATACGACAAAGAGAACACAAGTCATTTCATCCTCCTTAG